TGGGAATAGATGGAAAGAAGGGAAATTTAGCTTAGATATTAAGATGAAATTTTTTACATGAGAGTGGTGAGAGACTGTAACAGGTTGCCCAGGGAGGTTGTGGATGCCCCAAACCTGGCCTTGAGCAACCTAGTCTGGTGGGAGGTGTCCCTACCCATGGCAGTGAGGGTTGGGACCAGGTGATATTTAGGGTCCATTCCAACTCCCTTAACATTCTATGATTCTATAAGTTATGTAAATTGGCAAAGGATAATAATATTAGAGATGAGCTTGGATTTTGTACCTAGCGACTCTTCTGACCGGTTCCTGACCTCAAAAGTATTTATTGCACATGTTGTTTATGATTACACAGACTTGTTTGCGATCAATGAGATTGATGTTGATTCAGTGTTGATGGAAACTACCTTTTAAAGGCCAGGATGCTTCTGTTGCTCTCTTTTATTCTGTTGTTTTGCATTTACCCTGCATAATCTTCTGTGCATTTTTTTGTTCATGGTGGTAATGCCTGCTACAAACTGTTTCAGCTCCTTCTTGTATCAGTGAGATTGTCTCTCCCCAAAGTTCTCTTCTGCTGTCTCAAATTTCAGCTTGTAGAGGAAAATTCTGTCAGAATGGAAATAAAGCATCTCGGTACCCCCCTCCTTAAAGTAACACATAAGAGTCTTATGTATATATATAATAATAAATAAGAGTGGTTAATACTGTGAGAAAATAAAGGTAGCTAAACATCTAACAAAGCAAGCCAGCCAACAAGCAACAAAGCTCTTTAAAAATGTGCAGTCCTTCCATTCAAGAGAGCAAACAAAGCTTCATAAATTAGCTAGGTAATGCTTATGCCAAGTAGCATAATTTCTAAGTATAGCCTTATTCTCCTCCCTTTCATAATTTCGTTAGGGATGAGAGCTGGTTAGTTTTATGATTTTTTTAATTCCTGTAGTATCTTGTGGGTACTACTACAGTCTAAATTATATAGATGTAGTTACAAAAACGATTCTTACAGATAGGAAGCATCTGCTCACTACATTTTCCAAACTATTTCAGTATTTTTAATGAAAATCACATTTGATGTTTGTCTCCAGGAGGAAGAGAATAAATAAGTATCATGCTCGGGGGAGGTTTGTGTTTTTAGCTGAAGTAGCAAGGCTGAAGCTTTAATAATAGGCAAACCAAGGTCACTAGCTGTGGGTAGCTTGATTCCAAAAGCTTTGCTCTGGAGACTGTCTTCTGAGATAAAGTATCAGGATGAGTCATGGAGAGAAACAATTGCAAAAATGGATGATAAATCAGTTGGAAAATATTGTTTTAAAATGGATTTTGAATTGGATATGAAGCCAGTGTACAACATGAAGGAACAATGATCCCATTTGTCTCATACCTAAGTGGATTTTAAGTGTGTATTTTAAACTAATAGGAGTTTCCATATGGACTTTGAAGTTTGTTCCATATCTGAAATACTTAGCTAAAATAGTGTAAGGAGTTAGTGAGGATTAACTTATTTGGGAACATAAACGAATGGCTGTACTTCCACAGATGAAGGATTTGTCTAGCCAAGCACCTCCTCACTATGGCAATGCCTGGTAGCACATATCTAGGAAAGAGTACTGGGGCTAATCATTTGGGCCTTTCACCAGAAGTTTTGTGAAAACTTTCACATCTTCATCAGTTTGTGGCTGAAGAAATTCCTGAGACTGAGGTGATATATTTTCATATAAGAGCTATAAATTATTTTTTCATCTTTTCATCCAGTGGCATTCTGAAGCTTTTAGCATCAATTGTCTACACCTGCAGCTGTATCTTAGAGGAAAGATATCTGAACATGGTATATCCATGACACGTACACAGCCGGTACCCATTCTGTCTCTTGCTGTCCAGACATACTCTTGTAATTTAGACTGACAAGAACACCCATTACAGTTCTGTAGTGGTTGTTCATGCCTGCCTTTCTGCCATGTCTGTACTCCATGCAATCAGTGGCTTCTTGTTTATTCCCTCCCCATCCTGATTGTTTAGTGGTTAGCTTAATATTTTATCAATACAGACTCCATTTACTCTCTTATACGGATCTGAATCATGGGTCATCTACCGCCACCACCTGTGACTCCTAGAATGCTTCCATCAACTCTGTCTCCTCACAATCCTAAACATCCACTGGTCAGATTATGTGACCAATACATCTGTTCTAGAACAAGCAGCAATCACAAGTATTGAAGCCATGTTACTGAGAACACAGCTGCGCTGGACAGGACGCGTCTCCAGGATGAAGGATCACTGCCTCCCTAAGATCTTGCTCTATGGTGAACTTGCCACCGGCTGCTGCAAGAGAGGAGCCCCAAAGAGAAGATACAAGGACTCCCTGAAACAACATCTCAGCCTTGGCCATATTGATCAACATAACTGATCTACTCTGGCCTCCAGCCGGGAGGTCTGGAGACACACCATCTATAACGCTACTGATGCCTTTGAGAAAGCACGCAGGATCACCCTTGAGGAGAAAAGACAACACAGAAAGAATCGTGCCTTGCAGAATATACCACCTAAGGAGTCTTTCTGCTGTGCCTTTTGCAACCAGATGTGTCTGTCTCGTATTGGCCTTTTTAGCCACCAACGCATTTGCAACAAATGTGGGTAGAGCCCTTCCCAAATCTTCATTCGTGAAGCCTAGCCATGAAGAAGACAGACCTCATTATGGTCTTTCACTACTGTGTAACCAACTCCTCTTTAACAAATTGTTGATATTTGAAGTCCTTGATAACAGTTCAGACCATGTGGAAGGTGCCACTAATGTATAAACTGCCAGTGACACATCAGTTCTGTTCTGCCTACCTGGAAAGGAAACAAACTTCAATAATCAAAACAGAAACCATCCTTTTCCCCCTACAGCACTTTTGTGATAACTCAGTCAAGAAAGTAGGCAGGGAGTGGCACTTGAACATGAATTCAAGAGGAATTTCCTTGCCACTCTGTCACTGATAATCAGGAATAAAAAAAACCCTCATGTGATGTGCTGCTGTTTAACAGACAGTAAGTAGTCTGTGATCATCATCATGGCCAGTCTTCGCGAATGAAGATTTGGGAAAGGTCTTTACCCTTCGAGCCTGCGCGATGGATTTTTTAGGTGAGACACAGTGTGCGCTGAACTGAGCCCACCCTTTAATCCTAAGGTTCATCTTCCAGGGCGGAGTGAGCTTGGACAGTGGCAGTGAGGTCCTCAGGACGTAGGTTTGTTTAGAGTGACCTTCTCTTAGATGGATGGCCTTACAGGGCTGATGAGCTCCATCTGCCCAGAGGAGTTCCCTGACCGGGAATCAAACCCGGGCCGCGTCTGTGATACAGATAAGGTATTTAGCATACCTAAGTTCTGATCCCACTGTATGTTCAAACTATGCTCTAATACAGTGTAGATAAGTTACCTTTTATTCTAAGGCCACCAAAGATTAAAATCTGCTGAAAGCTCTGTCCCATGAGTATCCCTGACAAGAATTCCTGCTTATATTACAAGTAGAAGAAATTGTTGAAACTGGTTTGGGGTTTTTTTTGTGGGGTTTTTTTGTTTGTTTGTTTGTGGGGTTTTTTTGTTTGTTGTTTTTTTTAATGTAATTGGAACTTCTTTAAGTTCTCAGAACTCAACGCTGTTGTGTGAGAAGTATTGGTAGAGCTCTGAATTCTTTTATTTTTAACCCGAGTGCAGGACACACAGGCAACCCTACTGGAAGCTAATTGGGCCACAGAACACTTCACACTTTTCAAATCGTTCTGTATTTACCAAGTGCTTCATTTAGCTTAGGCTTCCACCTTTCAAAGTCTTCACAGAGACATCTAATTTGTTCCTTAGTAGGACAAATATGGTCTCCTGTGTGCACTAGAAAGATGTTCAGTGGCGGTTTAGTTGGTCCTAATTAATGAACCAGAAGGGAGATAATTTTATTGTGGTTACAGTGAAGTTCTTCTGTAAGGTCTTGGATATGTACTTCATGTTTCTTCCCTCAAAATCCTGGGTTTTAATCAGAAAATACAATATGAACGTGTCAAATTACACTGAATGTCAGTTCAACAATTACTATTGGAAATTTTATCTCATTAAAATACAGGAAACTTATGCTTAAAAGAGTTGCCAGGAATGTCTCTTCTGAGAACATTACAGTAGGTTTGAACAAGAACAACTGTACAGCAGAACTAAAAGTAACTTCAAAGAATCCTTAATTCTCTTAACTTCAAGAATCTGGATTTTATTCTAAATGTAGAAGTTTGGTCAGAGACAGTTAAAAGAAGCATTCCATGAGCTATCTCTAATTCACGTAGATATTTCTGATTTACTGTAGTCACGATGCAACTTTTTCTGTAACGATCTTATATGTTATTCTCACCAGACAATAAATTCAGTATATTTCGGAATCACTTAACTATTTTAACTAGTTTCAACTCATTTTGTTAGGGCTATCTCCCTCTGCCTGAGAGACTCTCTGTTTTGTCTGACATTACAAATCAATGTGCTGCCTAAAAATCTAGGGGAAAAAAATGCTTCTAAACTAGGAGTACGAGTACAGTCCTGAGACTGCAATAACAGGTTTCCATTTTAAGCGTACTATACGACTTTGGAAACTAGAGTATACTGAGTCTAATGATGGCATTGACAGCAAATCTTCTTGTGGTCTTTAAATTAGTTGGAACTAAATTTTTTAAATCTTTGATTCTGGCAGCTTTGGGTTCCTAAAGGTACTTTGAATCATGGTCAGAAGTTGCTCTCAGCAAAGTCTTTCTAAATCATTGTCTTGTGGTATGGTATTATTTCTGCCTAGCAATAGCTTTTCATTGTAGGAATTTGTAAGTGTTAACTAACATTGTTACTTGCTCTGAATGTGTGACATTAACAGCACTATCTAAGTACTCTCATAACAGGCCTGTATAGTGAAAATATTTGTTCAGTAGATGAGTAAGTGTTGTGGGGAGGATTGTTCTTTTTCTTTCTTACCAGGAATTCCTTTTATTTACCTGTTTTTCAGATAATGGAGGACAGACTTTGGCAGGTGGGAATAACTGGCCACTGAGAGGGAGAAAATGGACCCTTTGGGAAGGAGGAATAAGAGGAGTAGGCTTTGTTGCAAGTCCTTTGCTGAAACAAAAAGGTGTAGAAAGTCATGAACTCATCCATATCTCTGACTGGCTGCCAACACTGGTGCACCTTGCTGGAGGACATACCAATGGCACTAAGCCCTTGGATGGCTTTGATGTTTGGAAAGCTATCAGGTAACTTACATGTCATATCACCAAGTCAGCATTCTGGTATAAGAGTTTAATCAGCCCAGAAAACAGAACTGGAACTAGGAGGGAAATATTATGTGTTCCTTTCCCTAAATAAAGGGAAGGTATAAGTGCAGTTAATCGTGCAGTCCACGAGGGAATTATCCAGGTTGCAAATTAGTCCTGGTCACAGATACAAAGCCTCCATACAGCTTTAACTTGATATTTTGAATTTTTCAGTATAAACACAACAGCGCATAAGCAAGGTTTACTTTATCAAGAACACTCTGTGATCCCAAAGTATGTTAATTAATTTTGCGCAGCATGTAATAGAAGTAAATTTTATGGACCAAGACCTGCTCTCTACAGAGCCCAGTTGGGTGTCTCTGTAGCATGCATCAGGAATTAGACATGTAAAAAAATCTATGCAGACATTTAACTCACTGAACACAGATTCCACTTTGATGGTTTTTTAGTTTAGTACAGGGCCTAGTACTGCTCAAAGTGTAACCATTTGCATAGGCCTGTATCATGCTGTCCGGTAGCTCAAAAAGTGTGTGACATCAAGTACAAAAGTAGAATGGACCTGGTTCCTGAGGGGTTATGATGCTGTGACTGATTCTAGCAAGCTGGAATGCTCAGAAGCACAGTGCAGATATGCTTAGATGACTGGAGAAAAGAGCCAGTACAGCTCCAGCTGGGTAGATACTGTGACCAAACTACTTTTACTGGGCTCTGTCTGACTCTGTGCACCTCTCATGCTGGTGAGATTAACTGGGACATCCCAAACCCCATTATTTCACATAATGGAGTCTTCTGGGCATTAAAAGAAAAATGAGTTAAATCCCATACATTTTTCCTTTGGAAAAGATTAATAAAAGTGGTATCACAAATGCTGGATAGTGGGAGCTCTGGGCACATGTGAGTATGTGCTAATTACTGAAGCCTTGAGCTCAGCAGAGCAAGGAGAATAACAGAATGTAAAGAATAAATTAAATAGACATGAACTGGTAACGATTTTTTGCCCTGGGAATAAACTATCAAAAGAAACTCTGGTGTTACTCTTTGCAGTATCTTCAGTCAAGACTTATATTCAGTCAGTCCTTCATCTTTCAAAGCCTTTCTTTTATTTCAGTGTTCTTTTATTCTACTAAAATAGGTGTATTGTATGGCTGTCTTCCAAGTGGAAGAAGATAACGATATGTATGATTGAGGCCAGGGACCATTAACTTCCAGGAAGGAATGGAGACTCCCATCCAGCCAGAGAAAGAAAAATGTTTTACTTGTCAGTGTTCCTACGGGAAACTTAACATCAGCAAGATCCAGGGTACACCTAAACCGTAGGCTTTTTTTCCGGCTACCAGTGGAATTCCTGTCTACTTCAGGTTCTGTTTCAACTAGGTATTCTTTGCAATGGACCGATCTTCTCAGGTCAGATTACTTCAGCAGGAGAGTTACATGTTGGGAAGGATAGGTATGGCTGTGCCAGCACCCTACTGATATTTGAGTCCTATGTCTTTGTAAAGGGAATGAATGCAATATTTACTGGCACTGCTGCAGGGAACAGGTGACCCCTCCTGCCATGGTTTTAGTTCTATCAGTAGAGGGCCTCTGTCTGGACAGGTAAAAAGTCAGAATTTTTAATTGTTAGGCTGGTCTTTGGCTGACCTTGCAGCCAAAATGTCAAATTTCACATGATTTTCCCATGTAATCAGGATAAATGAGTGTATTAAATTTCATGATCATAACTCAAAAGGTCACTTGAATATTGGATAGCAAACAATGAAGGCACAGTGCCCTTTTCGTGGCATCTGATGGAAAGTTCAAATATATTGCTTTTATTGGACTAGGTGGCTAATAATGAGTGAAATTATAATTTGCTAAGATCCTAACTCATTTGAAAAAAGGAAATTGATAGCCACTCACCATGTTACGTCTATGGGGATTTTTTCAGTCCAGTCTAGTATAAATAGATGCACATGCTTCTTGTGAATCTTTCCTGGGTGGAGAGGGTACTTTAATCCTGAGCCTACTGTTTCTTATGTGTGTGTGTTCAAAAGAAAAAGATCATAAATTTGGAACCTTGGTTTAGATATTCAAAACAATATATGAGACAGTGCAGGTATTCTCAGAAGTCACAAAAATATTGAATCTATTTCAGTGATATCTGTCTGTTAATGATCAGTATTTAAAGGATGTGTTCTTAACATGCTATTTGTGTAACAATAGAAAGTAATATAATGTAATAATTTGTAACAAAATACTATACCACTGTAAATAAATATTTATAAATTTAATACAATATAGAAATATTAATATGTCTACAAAACACAGAAATTAAACTCAAAACCGTTAAATCCTAAGTACAAATTCTGAAATGCTAGACCAAAATGAACTTTCTGTCATAACTTAAAATGACTGGTAGTTCAAATTAGGAATCACATTACCATGACATTGATTAATATTAAGTTATTGTGCTAAAAAGAAGTGCTGAGAATCACATATGTGCCTAACTGTTCATTTCATGCCTGCTCTACTTAATTTTGACTTAAAGAACCAGAAGAAATTTAATGGTTAGGAGGAAATAGCATGAAAAGATGAAGTTCAGGAGCACATTTCTTGAGGACAAAAATACCTCCTTTTGCATTCTTTTTAGAAAGCTATGCTCTAAGTTGCTTTCAGACAATGCATGAAACTGAGAAAACACAATGTTTGTGTTCTCACTGCTTGAACACCTCATTAAAACTTTGCATGCTACTTAAAAGCTCTTTGACAGAGATTTGTACTCAAAAGCTTGTTTGCTCTTTCCAAATCAATCTGCTGACCCATTAGTGTAGAAAATACTGCTTCAACACTGTATCAGTGAGAGAGGTAATAGAGGAGGAATGTGATTTCGTTTAAAATAGAAACTGAAAAAAGACAGGTTTTGCTGCACTCTCACAGCCTGACAGTCTTACTCACCAAGAGATGTGTGTGTGTCTGAGAAGTCTGCCCAGCAGCCAGGCACTGGGGCAGAGGATTTCAAGCCATCCACCTGGCATCCCACCTCCATGATGCTTGTGAACAGATGTTGGATCCAGCATCTGTTGTTATGGTGGAAAGGTCTGGGCATGCCAGCTGTGAAGTCCTTCAAGCTGCTTCTGTGTTGTTCTTAGGCTGGGTACCATGCACAGGTCTGGTTGTGCCTGTTTGAATCCTTTTGATGCTGCTTCTATGTTCTGCTCCACCTCTGTGAGTCCCCAGGGGCCATTACTGTTTTGTCTCCAGATGTCCCTGTGGAACAGCTCAGATGTATTGCGATCTTGCTAATGTGCTAGTCTGGATTGTCATTAACATGGGCTGTAACGAGGCCCTTTCCCTGCTATGTGTTCATGTTGTTGTCTCCACACACAGACCTTCCCAGTCTTTCTCCAACTATACCAATCTTGGACTACTTTGTGCAAAATCCTGTTGAAGCACATCTTTAGACCAGTGCTTCATAATTTTTATTTTTCTTCAACTACCTTTGAGATGAAATTTAACTTCCTCTCTAATGTCTCTAACTTCTTTTTGAAAATAACTTAGGATAGTATCACTGTGTCAGCCTATTTTTGGATAGCTGCCAGATCTTTCCAGTCTCAGGTATAAACCTTTTACATAAATCATAGTAGATTCCCCTTTTCTAATGCCTTAGATTATCATGGTTAACACTACAATATATCTAGCACCTCTAAAATCATGTCATGTTACAAATTATTTCTGAAAATACGATGATAATATCAATAATATATTTTACAAAAGTAGTAATTGAGAATATGAAAAACAGTACTAAAATGCAACTAGTCAAGGAATCTAAACCATACTGCATATTTCCAAGCAAGTATCTCAAAAGGCACTTGCATTTCTGGGAAACATCTGTTCGCCAGATGCTTGCTACTCTATTGAAATTGAGATACTAGGCAAAATAGTTTTCCTTATGTAAAAATTTGCATTGGCTGGCAATTTTTTTAATACATATCTTGATTTTCAGTACTGAATATCTAGCATGTCCATGCTCAGAAAAAATATTGTATTTTGCATTAATGTAAAAATGGAAAAGTAAATGGTAGAGCGCGTAAAGCAGTATGATAGCACATGAGAGATTCAGGATAAAATACTGTAAAAAGAACTTATTTTGTAAAAGCTTATTAGTGAGCATAGGCTTTCAAATTTTACATATTTTGCAGGGCAAGTTTCAATTTTACATTTGTGTAGTATTGGAAATATCAGAATTGATTAGGTGAAGTAAATGAAGAAAGATCAGTTTGAATTCCTGTGTACTAAATGGTTACATTCATTTTTGGAATTAAACACCTGTTTGAAAAAAACTTTCATTGTTTTGGTATAAATTAATGCTGAAGAAAGAGCATCAAAAGCTGAGAGTAATGTTTATTTCCAGCATATCTGAAATATATTTATTTTATGAAAGCATTACAGATATGACCCAGAGAAATATGACAAGGTTATAAAGGCTGAGATTTTGCAGAGTGACACTGAGGATGTTTTTGTGCAAGATAAACATATTTACCCTGAAAAACCTTGCATTCCTTCCCAAGGACATGTTTAACAACAACAAAAGAGAAAGATTGCGTGTAGATATTTGTTCGCATTCACTAAGGAATAATAGATCTTCCTATAAATTTTAAAAACTTTGCAAATGAGAAGATAAAGCAGTGTTCTCAGCATAAACTAGCTGATTATCATACCAATGATGAAATTACAGTGTATGCTTTCATTAAGCTGTTCTTACCTAGAGGACTGTTTTGGAAAATGGTAGCTTTTAACTGCTTAAATAATTAAGACATATCTTAATTATTATACCATCAGACATGGTAGAATAATACCCAGACAAAATAAAAAGTTCCTTATTTTTAGGGAGAGGGATGAGGTATTAAAATATTGAAGTCTAAAAATAAACATTCTAAAATTAAACCATTGTAAGATATGGTTACACTGGCAGTTACTAAAACAGAAAGGCAGGTTTCCCTAGGGAATTTTGTTTCTTTGTTATTGTAGCTGTGTTGGCTAGACTATATTCCTGATGCAAAATGTCCTTGCAGGACATCTGCCAAAGTGAATCTGTAGTAGAATCTGTGTGTGGAGTTTTGTAAGTGAGAAGGAGGACAGAGTTTAGGCATAGGGAAAGGGACCTCTGTTACATGTGTAAATTCCCTACTTTTTGTCCCCAGAATGTTGTTTCTGTCTTCCTGATGTCTTTTGCTGTCAGAGAGGTGCTTTCTTCAACATACAGTGCCAAATTCTTTTCTCTGGATGTTGTTTTATGAATAATATGTGCTGGTTATAAGTTCAGTATCACTTAATAATGCTACAGAGCGTAATGCAGGAATGTCATAAGCTTCAGGGAGTATATCTCATGATTATATATAAATCACATTTCCAAGTTACTAATGCCGTTATTCTATCCCAGAACAAAAATGGATTCCATAAAAATGACAACTGCAGCATGAAAAACTTAAATCAATGCAGGTGTAATCTTTATTTTTTGTGTTCTACCACCTGCACAATAATGTTAATAGCCATGTTTAGTGTATAATATGCACTGTCCACATTAAAAGTTATAAAGGAAATTAATGATACGATAGTAATACAAGTCTGCTTGAACACTGTAAATATAGTTGGTATAATCATAGACTCATATGGAATTGTAGAACAAGTTGGGTTGAAAGGGACCTTTAAAGGTCATGTAGTCCAATGCCCCTGCCGTGGTCAGGGACATCTTCAGTTAGATTAGGTTGCTCAGAGCCCTATTCACTTGACCTTAAATGTACCCCAGGGATAAATCATCTGCTACCTCTCTGGGCAGCCTGTACCAGTGTTTTACTACCATCGTCATAAAAAATTTCTTCCTTATATCCAATCTAAATCAACCCTTCTTCAGTGTTAAACCATTACCCCTTGTCCTGTCACAACAGGTCCTGATAAAAAGTCTGTCCCCATCTTTCTTGTAGGCCCTCCTCATGTACTGAAAGGCTACAGTAAGGTCTCTCTGGAGCCTTCTCTTCTGCAGGCTGAACAACCCCAGCTCGCTTTAGCCTTTCCTCAGAGGAGACATGCTACAGCCCTCTGATCACTTTTGTGGCCTCCTATGGACTCTCTCCAACAGGTCCATGTCTTTCCTGTGCTGAGGACCCCAGAGCTGGAGGCAGCGCTCCAGATAGGGTCTCACCAGAGCAGAGTAGAGGAGGAGAATCACCTCCCTCAACCTGCTGGTCACACAGCACTATGTGAATACTGAATGGTACAATATGAATATTGAATGTATAAAGATGAGAAGTAAATAGGAGGAAGTTACTTCATCTGTATTTGTCTCCGGTGGAAGATACTGAATTACTTAGCATAACTCTGGTGGTTTTACAATATACTGAGAAATGTAGATCCAGCTCAGAAACTGCAAAATAAGAATATCTTCCTGGGCAGTTACTGCAGAATCAATGACACGCTATAAATTCACATCCTGGTGTAAGTTGTGCTAACTGGTTCATGTTACTGTTACCTATAAACAGATGGCAAAAGGCACACTTGGAAACAGCTGTCAGTGGAGCACATAGAGACAGTTAAGAGTTTATTAAATCTAAGATAAAATTTGTTCAAATAAGGCCAGGTGTTCCTTAGTTAAGAGTGTGACTACTGTAGATATTAGGGGGGTGCATGGTGGTGGAATTAACCTTTCACTCACATTTTGGGAAAAATATTTTTGTGGCAGTTTCTATACATTGAATTACTAACACTGTATCTTAATTATTGTACTTCTTCTATATTAATTATAATAGTGTATTATCCGAACACATTTAATCTTTCATCCAATTCTCCATGTTAGTTTTGTACTTATTCAAGATGTGTAGCATCCAGAAATGGTTTTAGAAATGCAATAGAACAATATTAATTTTAATTATTTGTTACTGAAAATTTTAAATTACAGGTAAATATTGTTTAACTATATATTTTATGTATTAAAATAATTGTAACTTTTTTAGCTCTCAACTAAGGTTTATATTACCTGACATTTTTATTCTTAATGTCAAGCAACTTAGGGGCCCTGGTTGAATTTTTGTGTCTTAAGTGAAGCTCCATAATGAAAACAAACAGTTTAAATTATTTGGAAATTTCTAAAAGGATGTGTTTAGGTTCACTATCAAATAATAAAATATTGTTGTGTCTTGATGTTGCCAAGGTTCTTTCTAGTTATGTCTTCCTACTCATGCTGCCCTTTATAAGGAGTAAATTTTTTTTTCCACTTAACTAAGAAAATTTGTGGGTAAGTTCAGAGGCTTATTCCACACCATCTCTGTGTAGCCAATGGCTAGAAAAAGAAGGATGATTTTTTTTTTCAAGAAGATTCAGAGTATCTAAATAATCCTAGTGAGATCAATTACAAATCAAAGGTGGGGTTTTTTGTGGGATAGCGATGCCTGTGGTGTTTTTTGAGGCACCCAGCCAAAATGCTTTCAGCACTAATTCAGGTATGCAGAGAGCATAGCAAATGCCATGCCAGCTTATGCTGTAAAATTTGATTCTTAAAGCTGATTTTTGTAAAACTGTGCTTTGGTAGGGCCACTTCTCTGCTCTGTAAACTTATGAATAATCCCCATAAACACCAATGAAATTAGGGGAAACTTATAAGGGCAAAAGCTGTTTCTACTAGGCTGGAAAAGAGCATTCAGATTAAAGTTGATAGTAATTAATTTACAGATGGGAGCTCTCTATTAGGATGAGAAAAAGCCAGAATCTTAATAAGCTGTAGTAGGAAATTAATATTTCCTTTTGAAATCTCTCTTAGTGAAGGAAGACCTTCTCCCAGAGTGGAACTGCTGCACAACATAGACCCGATGTTTGTGGATGACTTCCCATGTGAGTATGCTATTGATTGCTCAGGATTTATTAAACATACAGTTTATCTTCTGAACACTTCTTGTTTTCTGTAAGTGAAGTATTTCCTTCCAGGTGGAACAAAATACAGTAGGCTGTCTTTTGCTTTTAAGCAAATAGCTTTAAAATAGAGAAACATCGTCCCCCAGATGCTGTGAGTACTTAATCATGACCACTTCCTACTTCAGAGAGCTCTGAAACCCTGGTGAGTAATGAATAAAGTACTTTGGGACATGGAGAGGTTGAGGAGCAGCCGTGTGCCTGAGGTGCACAGGGAGGCACACTGCCAAAAACCCCTTCCAAACCCTCTCTTCAGTGTTCCAAATGAACTGCTCGCCCTAATGCATCTTGATAGAGCTATATAATGTGACCTTGCAAATGGAAAACTTCAGTTTGCAAGAAGCTGAGAAGTTCCAAGCCTTGTGATTGCATTTGTTCCATAATCACGTGGGTTGGATCTTCAATGTCACAATCACATGAATTGGAGCTGAAGTTTGCTAATTCTATAGCTCTGTAAGCACCATCTGTTTTATGATTCAACATTATTAGTTTGCTAAAGACTACAGACTTTTGAGGCAGACATTTTTTTCATACAGAACATTGGAACAGGTCCTTTCCAGTGTTTTTATAGCATTTCTGTATTTCATTAAATAAAGAAGTAAATCCAGGCAGAGGAAAAGTAGAGCAATGAGGCAGGCATTTGCCAGCAAGGCAAATACACATTGTGCTACAGTAACTGGATGGAAAGGGGTAAGGTGGCGTTTTGCAATGCACATCTGGTTCTGCGATGCTTTTCTGAGAAGGAGCAACATTGTGCCTATCTAATGCTGACTGGGCAGCACTGCCTGCAGATAATTCCTACATACGGATTGAATTAAGTTGTAGCTACTCCAGTTTCCCTTCAAAGAATGCTCAGTGAGTATGCTCAGTAGCATTCCTGAGTGTTGTTATGTCCTGACGTGGTGTTCTCGGGCATACATCAGAGACCCATCTTTTCCCTATGGGAATGGCCTATGATTGAGCTCAGCAGAAGTGTTTAAGTAGACAAATTCCTGGTGTAAACAGAAGTGGGACAAGCAGAGGTTTTCAGAACACTGAGCTCTTTGGAAATGTCACCAGATTGCTTTCATGATCTAATGCTCTGATAATCCTTCTCTGTTTGCTACGTGCATCATGACTTTATTTTTTGTGTGCATTGCATTGTGGGCAGGGAGTGGGGCACGTGGTGAGAAACTGTAATACCATAACTCTTATGCTAGATGAGGTGTGTTTTTTAAGTGTCACAAACAGAGGAAGGTACATGCATGCCTGTAAATTTACAATGTTTTTATGTACCATTCAAAACTAGATTATAAAAAACAAAAACTTAATTCTTCACCGATGTGTTCTTATGCCCCATATAGGGTTTCCTTGTCTCTTTTCAGCAAAGGCCTATACTTTTGGCAAATTGCTTTGTGTGTCTTAGTGAAATTATACTTTGTCAAATAAGAATTAAAATTTCTATTTAGCAGTCTGAGTTATTGGGAGTAATTGTATGTGTATGTAAGTCACCTGATTCCTGCGTGCTGTTTTTCATTTATGGAAACTGAGTAATAAGTTTCCATAAAAACTGGTGTCTCTATTAGGGAGACGCAAAGCTATATACAAGTACTTTCATATTTTCAGCAAATATCATGGTTCTCTTTGTGCTTGTTTTGTTTCGTTTCATTTTGTTCTGTTTTAAAAAGCATCTTAAACTGCCCATACAATCTCCCTGTCACCAAGGTGATAAACTTTGTCACTCCATGTCCTAACTGTTTTGACATCAGAGTACTCTTATGCATGTTTTTCTGGGTTCTCTCTAATCGCCGGTATAGGCTTTTACCTTCTTTATGCGTACTTTGCTCACGTTCTAGTCAACTTTAAAAAAATCTCATCACATTAAATCATCTTGTGTCTGATGAGGTATTCCTACTAATGCTTTCTTTTTTGTATAAATTTGAATTAAAAAGTGAAATAATAACTGAAAGGTATAGATTAGCCAAATCTTTGGGTTTGAGGAGTACTGTAGGATAGCAAATAGGCAAGTAAATCTCAAGATACTGTTAAATGTAAAAAAAACCACCTTTCAGGTTGTTCTGGATAGTCAGGCAAGAAGACAGTGTACTGTTGTAGTTGGCATTAAGTTAGTATTTTACTTGTACTCAGTGCAGGTTCAGTGAACTCTTGAGTGGTTTTGCTTATAATGTATACCTTCTTTCAGCATAATATGTTTTTATTTAATGAATGCATTTATCTTCATCTCTCTCTGAATAACTGATAATATTTAGTATCCTGAGTGATGGGATATCTCATGTAATTAATTATTATTTTTTTAAACTGAAATAGGGAAACTGAGCCTTGTTCCATTCAGATTTTTTTATACTAGAATAAGAATTCCTTGAGGGAATAATTCATGTAGAAGAATTAGTTTAGTGTCAACTCAGCTGTTACAGCCAAGTGTTCAACAGAATGTTAAGGTAAAGTAATAGGACATGGTATCTTGATTACAGAGCTAACAACATCTCTGCTGCTGTGGTCTGTTAGAACTGACCTTGGGCAGTCTGTTTACCACTCGTGGGATAAGATCATATAACTTTTCAAGTTCTGAGACTGAGCGCTGGTTTCTGATCTCCACTTACCTTTGTTTAGGAGCTGGAGCAGGATGCCCAATGGTTAACACTGTAGCCCTGCAGTAGTCTTGTATTAAAGTACTGTACTTCTTTCCTATTTGTAATACTAAACAGCATAAGAGGAAAACCACTGTAAACTAGATTGCCTCCAGTTCCATTTTACAAAAAAGTACGGTCAGGTCTTATTTCACTGACTCCCTCAAGTAATCGTCTTCTCTCTCAAGGGTAGACTTTCTTCATTCAAATATAAACCTTTTCTGTGGTCTGATACACATCAGCTGTGATTCCTCATTTGTCATCTTTAGTGCTAATAAAAGTTTTCCTGTCCCTGGCTGAACACTTTGCCTTCAGTCTCCCTCTGACCTATGGCAGCCCAGTGGATTGGCTGTGGTTAAAAACAATCATTTATCTCAATGAACTAATCTGGTTTGCAGTGCAGACCTACAACAATTGTAGTTGTGGAATGAAAAACTAGGATGGGATCTCTAAAACTAGGATGAATAAAGGAGTGGATTCTGGTCTTTGGGTGTTAGGAAGCCAGTCTGGTGGTGAGCTTTTGCCAAGATGGCCAGCCTGTCCTTTGCTTTTCCTCCTTCACTTGTGTTAGATGTGGAAATCACATGGTGACAAGATGATTCTTATCAACCTTGACTGTTCTGGTAGCCAGGCAAAGGAGGAAGAAAGGTTTCTGCCACATCAGTCAGCTGAATCTACTTGCCTTGTAGCTGTGTGACTGGAAGCAGGGGGGCAGTGTGTGGTTCCTGGCAGATGGAGGGACTGGCCACAGGATTTGTCAGCTCAGATCAGCTCTAACCACCTTGGGAGCTTTAGCCAGAGGCAGTAGTTTCATGGATTTTAAGCTAGTGTATCTTGCTGCTGCTACCACAGAGGATATCCTGCCTCCCATGGTGTCTTACCACCACTCCCCTCTTTTGCGGTCACCAAAACTACGCACAGAGCCAGGCTATGAGCCAGTTCAGGATATTGGTTCAGATTTTAATAACCCCTTTTTTTTTTTCCCCCTCCGGATGTAGGTTGGATAGCCAAGCATATTTTGGCACAAAGAATGGGACTAGGAGGAATTTTGGGGGACAGGTGAGACTGATTCTTTCGGCTCTGAAATGAAGCTCTGAGATTTCTGTTGTGTGATATATGATGAAGTGATCCAACAGGTTTCTGCTGGGGAAGTGCTTCACTTTCTCCCCTCTCCATTCCCAGCCACATGCTACTAGTGCTTGTTATGCATCCATTCACTCCCTGGATACCTCCATGGACCTATCTAACTTGCTAGCCTGATATTCCTCTGTTGTGTAGGTTGACTGTGCTCATTGAAGGGGCTGATGGATGCCAGCAGCAACTTAAGTCTGGGGCAGGGAGGGCTGTGTGGTTGGAAGAGGGGAGGCAGAGGCAGAGACAACCCTTCTAGTGCTGTCTGGCTGCTTCTAGAGCCAGAGCCCCAGGGGGAAGGAGTGGGAAACCACATTTTCTGATTGAACCTTGCCGTGCTAAACCAGTCTGGTGAGCTCTGCAGAGGCAGCTGGGTCCAGGCTCCTCAGAGGCGATTGCTCCTCTCCCTCTTTAAAGGACTAGAAACCATTGCTTTTGTCCTTCTGGATGTTTCTTTATCACACTGTTTATTTTTTTCAAAAGTGATGAATATATGTCTCAATTGCTTGGTCTCAGCGTAAATTTGTAGTTTATTAGAGTTTACAATTAGGTAAAATGGGTATGAAGGATCTATTGTCTTTCAGGTTTGGGTCTGAAACATATTTTCTTTTAGCTTCAAGAATTCAGTAGTAAAATAAGGAAATTAAAACCAGAAAGCTAAAATTATGTTGAGAGTATAATTTTCTCTGAAATGTATAGGTTAAGAAAGCACAAATAAAATGCAACTTGAAAGTGGCATAAATCAAAAATCTTATTTACATGCTTTGAAGGGAAAAGAAATAAAATTGGTTTGCCCCATTTTTATGACTTTGTCTTTAAAAACTAAAAAAAACCAAGTTGTTGATGGTTTGGCAGCTGTGTGGGTGACATCAGCTCTCCCATGGTGAAAGATCTGCTGTCTCTTAAACAGCCTTATGGCATTTCATCAAGTTTTGGTGATTCAGCTGAACTAAAACCCCACTGGATTTAAGTCTCAATTCCCCTAACTGCTAAACCAAACTTATTTCTGACTACACCATCATTGCTAGATGACCTGTCTTGAAGCAGTATTGAAACTTTATATCCCACAGAAGTTAATTTTATTTTGAGAATAAGAACTAAATGACATGCTGAAAGGAAATGTAGCATTTAATTTAGAGTTGTTAATCAGAATCTGTCAGTACA